CCCCCACCACCACCACCTGTCACTGTCAAAATGATTGGCGTAGGGAGTCCTATAGGTAATCAATCAGTTTCGTATCGGACAATTTATAATGTCTAGACCTTGATGAAATATAAATATCCAGAATAGAAGTCGCGCTCTTAGTTTAATGCATTGGAAGTATACTAATGTCTTAGTTTGCCTTTGGTGCTCTAATAAAAATCAGTTGCAAATGTCAACTTGAAACTTTAAATAGAAAGATGCTAAAGGATAACAGTGGATATTGAAAGTTTCAGAAACACTATTACATCTTATTGACTTCTTGCACGCTATAATAAGAGTGAGAATGACGAAATTTGCAATACTGCAGAGTTCCTTATTCTTGTCTATGTTTGATATTATTAAGTACACAATAGGTGGACACGTTTCTTATAGTAAACATCGTAAAATTGAAGTGACATCCTTTCTTTTGTATATACTCATGGTCATGTGTCGCAACTTGTTCAATGTGTTTCGTTCGTTCTGATGATAGTTCAATAAGTTCGATCGTTGCACGAACCAATCGTAATTTAGCAGCACATATACTCATCAAACATTGATGGCAGTTGACTAAATTTTACAACTTTTTTTTGTAATATTTTCAATATTCAAAACACGAAACGAAGGACAGTTGTTACGCAAATGTTATATGCGTTTCTTATTGTAAATTCAGTGTTAATTCTATCTATTCAAGCATATTTTGATGATGTTCTTTTCGATATTCAAAATCAAAATCGATTCAATCCTTATATGTTTAGTCTTCCAACTATTTTTCATGTAAAAATATTTATTTATTTCTGTTGAAAAATTCTCTTTTTTTTCCTTTCAAGGTGGATCGCCATACTCAATATGGATATGTAAGAGGTACGAGTTATCAAGTTGATTCACGAGATTCATTCTATCCAAAATATATCAGTGTGTTTCTTGGAATTCCATATGCTCGGCCACCAGGTAAATAAAATGAATATCTATGTTGAATTTTTATTTATGGCCCTTTTTTTGTTCTGTTTATTCTAGTCGGTCTCTATCGATTTAAAGTAAGATTTTTATCAATGGAATTTTTTTAATATATTTATTTTTCTTATTCAGCCACCATTACCACCTGATCCATGGGAACCAGCTTTTTTATTATATGATGCAACTTATTATCGACCATCATGTCTACAACCAGCAAGTGAACAGGAAAAAATTCGCCAGTATATTCCACATTTTCCTCCGTCAAATTTTAGCGAAGATTGCCTTTTTTTAAATATATTTGCACCAAATGTAAGCCATTTATTTTCTTAATATTCAACAAAAAATGATGTTTCTCTACGTTGATAGAGAACTGATCGATACATGCCGAAATTGCCTGTGATTGTATTTATACATGGGGGAGATTTTATTGGTGGAAGTTCACAAATTTATAATGGATTCGTTTTAGCTCAACGAAATGTTGTTGTTGTTACATTTAACTATCGACTTGGTCCATTAGGTAATAAATCTTATGGATAAAAAATATTCTAAGCTAACTATTTATTTCAAGGGTTTTTGAGTACGAAAACCTTAAACGGTCGAGGTAATTATGGTCTTTTCGATCAACGTATGGCTTTAAAATTTGTCTATGATAATATACGAGAATTCAATGGTGACCCAGAAAATATAACTGTTATCGGTCATGAAGCTGGAGCAGCGAGTATTGGTTTACATTTATTATCACAAAATACACCTCGCAAGTTTTAAGGAAAAATTTGCATTTGATATTGTAAAACGAATTTTTTTTTTTTTTGAAGTTTATTTTCGTCGTGCTGTGATGATGAGTGGAAGCGATTTATGTAAATGGTCGACTATTGAAGATGAACATTATCCACTTGAACAGGCGAGATTTTTAGCTAGACGTTTAACATGTAACGATAGAAATGTTGATGTTTTACTTGATTGTTTACGACAACGAAGTGGACTTGACATCATGAATTCTGCTAAGCATGTTTGGGTTAGACGAATAAAAACGTTTATTTATTAAAATATAAAATATTCTTTTTAACTCAGTTTCCTGATGAATTTGGCGGCCATCCATGGCGTCCTACCATTGATACATTCACAGATGATGTTATTCGACCAATTTTTTCACGTCGACCTATTGAACTCCGTCGTTTAGGATTATTTGCGAATGTATCTGTTATTTTGGGTACAACAAGCGATGACGGTGCTATTCATTTCGCTCAACAACCAATTAATTTAGCAGTTATTGATAAAGGCTTCTCACTACACGATCAACACGCCTATTTAAATATGTTTATTAACCGTCGTGTACAAGATCGATATAGTTTTCAAAGACAAACATTTGCCTATGAATATGCTGAAACAGACTATGTTTTACCTCGCGGGTAAGCATTGATCTCATGTTTATGATAAAAAATATTTCAATAGAATTGCTACCTAAATCTCATGCATGAACAAACAAAAGTTTCATGTAGACATCGCATGAAATATGATAACAATTATCTTAGATTTGACAAGAGTAATTGCATGGAGCTTTTACGCGCTGTACTTTCGCCGAGGAATACTTTTTTTTTAGTCGCGTGATAAAAAGAGACGCTTCAAGACGTCCGACTATGTCATCATCTATGGTTCGTCGATTATGCATACTTAAAGCAACTCTTTTGAATGGTCTAGGCTCTGATTATTTTTAGCATGAGCATCAATGAAATAGTTGATGGGTTATAAATTGACGCGAATTAATTTTCCAAAATTTACAGGATAACATTTTCCGACGCAATGAACCCTATTGGAGAGTTAGACAGTCTGAATTGGTACAGAGGAATTGTTCGCTCTGGCGAAAAATTAGAATATTTAATTTAGAAAAATGAATTGATTTTTCGATTTATAGTGGTGATATGTATCTTGATGAAGAAGGCATTGCAACAGTTATAAAGTACAAATATGCTCATTGGCCTCAACCCGATAATATGACCATGTTGCGACAACGTTTAGTAGATCTTCATTCCGACGAACATACAACATCATGTGTTGCTGATGCTGCAAGATTTCATGCTCGACATACATTTAATTCAACGTATATGTATGTATTTGCTTATCATTCATTAGCAAGTTATTATCCATATTGGATGGGTGCACCGCGTAGTAGTGAACTTGATTATCTTTTTGGAATGCCATTTATAAATGATTCTCAACGGATGCCTTGGCATGGTCTACTACGACGACAAATATTTACGTATGTCGATGAAGAAATGTCTAATTATACAATGCAATTATTTGTTAATTTTGCACGATACGGGTAAATCTGATAAGGTAAAGTCTGCTTTTCTAAAAAGCATTTTTCACTGTAGAGAACCAACACCAGGTGGATTTCTCCGTGAATATACTCCGCCATCACTAGAGCGTCCGTCTGGTTTAGTTCATTCTCCGTTGGGCTATGCGCTTCGTCTTAATGTAGCATGGCTACCACAATTAGTACAAAATATGACTTATTTACTTATTGATCGTTATCCGTCGTTACAAACGAATTATCGATTTGATGCAGCCGGATTTTGGTCAGAATATTGGCCGACAGCATTTCAACGTCGAATAAGTAAGTTTATTAATATAGACATAGATTTTTATATTGAATTACTTTTTTATTATTATTTAATAGCACCTGTTCCAACAAAATATTATAAACATGCAGTTTTGAATCATCGTGATACGACAATTTTAATGTTATTTTTTATTTGCGCGTTTATCTTAGCTATTATTGTATTGATTATTCTTTGTGGTGTCCTATTTGTACGTGTACGTCACGAAACAAATGAAAGTGTAAATAAAACTAACAGTAATAGAAGACAGACGAAATTTGAAAATAAGGAATAGATTAGTGTCATTTGTTTTTGTGCTAATATGTCGACAGATGAGTTTTGTTTTTGTTGCATATTTAAACAATTCATTTGGTAGTTTCTTCTACAGTTAGATAATTACAGATATCTATCTTCTCATTTTTTGAATCGAATCTTGCACACTACGATGGCCATTTTACAGCCATATGTTTTCTTTTTCTTGTAACATTCATCAGTTTTTGCTTTAATTTACATATGTGCGTGCTACTATTTGTATTGAAATAAATATTTAACAGAACGAAAAGTTCGTGACCGAGAATAGTTCGATACATTTTTATTTTTATTTGAAAAGATTACAGATTTATAATAAATGCAAAAAAAAAGAAAACGCGAGAGTAGAAAATTTTGAAAATAATCAAAAATATATTTCTAAATAGATTATAATTTTTCATAGCTCGTGTATATACTTACGTTAATAAAACGAAATCGAAGAGTTGAAAGTAATCTATGTCATTCTTGAATTTATCGTGCTTACGTGTTTTTTTATTCATTTAAAATCCTGTTGTGATTGAGTTCAAGTAGACAAACTTTTTCAAAAATGCGTTTAAACGCACAAGAGGAGCTAAAATGCGCGTTTTCTACTCAATTGGTAACCCCGATTGGCATCCAGGGATGCCCACTTTGCCTTGATCGTTCGCCTTTTTTTTGCGTTTAACCGGGCTTTTGAAAAATTTTGCCTGCTTGGAAAATCCAAATTCTATAGAAAATTGTTCATCCACAGTGTACGACATACGACACTATTCGCTCGAATGACTAAATAGCTAACTTGAATACACACAAGTTAATAATTTGATGCAACATCGACAGAAAATTTTCACATATTAAGTCTAAAAGAAATAGAACGGTAATTTCTTTTCATCTTATTTAGACCCTCTCAGACATGTTGTTTCAGTAACCTTGTGAATTCAAGTACTTAAATTCAAGTTAAATATTACCAATTAGCTTAATGTAGCATTGTTAACTCGTTTCTAATGTGATGCATCTCGGCCCATTTAGTGCGTCTTCTTATGATATAAGCCAAAGTACCAAAACATCTTAGTGATTCTTTACTCTGTGTCAAACTTTCCTTATTACGATTTTACCAATATATATATAAACGATTAATATGAATTGTAGTCAGTAATAAGCAACATATTCAATTTAGCGTATTGAATAAATAGAACCATAAATAATCATAGATCATATTTAGACATGATTTACCTCGAGTCTACGTGAAATTATGCTTGTAGGTGTTTTTTTTTGATTATTCAAATGAGATTATTTTTTTTCTCTATTCAATTTTGAAGGGAATTTCACTAAAATCAATAATAAAACAGCAGCAATCATCCATGACTTGTTCCAGTCATGAGCGCATTATTCGAAGCAACACTTGATCAGTCTAGCCTATCGATAGGTGCTATTCATAGGAACATATGATAGTACGCTATCTATTGAAATTCTTGATTAGCCTTGTAGGTCGTCTACGATAAATGGATGAAAATCTTTTTTCCTATTTTCTTTTTTTCTTGATTCCCGAATTGTAAGACAAATGAAAAGGTTTTCAGACTCGTTTGATAGAAAGTATTTTTCTCTAGAAAACTGTTGACGTTGTTTTTCAAATATGATTTTATTCATAAAATAAGTTTAAAAAAACATTGATAGATGCTTTCTTGTCTAAATTATTTTCTGTTTGCTTTTTCGGATATGAATGGTTTCTTCTTTTGTTAAGCTCTGCCCTCATTCAATTCAACAGCAAATGAAAAGTATTGTTCAATATAAGGCACACTATTTTTTATTCTACGTCTCGACGATCCTTCAAATATTCCTAATTGTAAAAGTTTTAACACGGATAGCAACCGAGAATATTCGAACGTGTAGTTTTAAAAGTTAGTTTTTGTGTACGAATAATTTATTAGAATAGCAGGAAATTGAGAATTTAATTCTGCAACAGAGTATAATGCTTACAGAAGTCAAGGAAACTCTTTAAATTATGCTGAACCTGATACAAGAAATCCTATGCATCAAGCAGAAAAGGATCGTTGATGCTGTTTTCAAAGGTATGCTTGAATATTCGTCTGTAAGATTTCTTTGTTTGTAAATTGTAAAACCTAGCAAATTCAGTAACAGTTTGTTTTTATTAAATAGTCAATTGAATAATTGTTTTTCTTGCGATGATCGCAATTGAATGACTAAGAAAGTTTCAACTTTTAACCAATAGGAAAAACAGGGGATTTTTATTCAGTGAAAAATTCTCTTTTGACTTACATTCATACATTGCAGTCCTGATAAATCCCGAGGGGGACGTCCTTTTCAAATAATTTGTTCGCTGAAATTCTGACAAGCGCTGCGATGTATGATTATATTGAAAACAAAATTCAACAATATTGTAATGCAGTACTACAACAAGAGAAAAAAAACGTTTTTGCTGTATTCATTATCGTATGTTTGTTATTTTAATTATTTGTAGTGTACTTACGGAACTTACATTTATGTCTAGAACCATCGCTTGAGACCTTTATGAACTGCCTATCAATAACTTGCATTAGACAGATTATATTTTTAAGATTCTACTTTTTATTCTTTGACATTTACTGTACAAATCGATATTGTACGTAGAATAATTGGATAATTAACTACTTGAAATATTCCAAGAACGATATGAGCTATAATTAGAACTGACCCTGTCTGTAAATTCATTATTTTTTCTGAAGATTCGACATAGAGACTAATTAGAGTACAATAAAACATATACGTTAGTAATACTCATAATCAAACAATAAAAGTTACAATTTAAAATCGATTTATTCGCCATTGTGATCTATCAGACGAGAATTTAGTTGATACTAAGATAGGCTTTCATCAGACTAGCACGACGAGAAACGACAGGAAGCTAGGATTATAAGAAAACGCATTCTTAAGATACAATTTTCTATCAAGTACTCTTAACTAAGCTGCCAAAAAATAAGAAAATAGCATATTGACAGACGACTATAGTATTTTTTTTTGCTCCACAATGACATCAACTTAATATCTATTGCCAATAATACTGTAAAAGCTTTAATTATATCTTGTACACAACAACAAAAATATGCTTTGAAAAATACTTGTTGATAGACATCACAAGGACATTATTGATAAGCAAGATGACAGTACCTGAGTGGGCCAACATGTTGATGTGTAAGTTTTACAAAAATATTTTGAAATTCTCTATTCCCGAGTGAAAATATCAATAAACAAGTGGCTTGACATCTTGTAAGTCTTATTTTATTTGAATATAAAATAATTCTCAGCTGATTCAATGATAAAGTATTGGTATATCATTGATAATTATGAGTGACGATGAAATTTGTTACTTAACTGATTATTGTCATCACAAATGTTGATTGTTGATTGGTTTATTAGATTTGTTTGAACAAAGAAACATAACTTTAAAGTATCAAGTCTACTTTCATGTTCATCAATTTTCATGAAGAAAATGAAATAGTCAGCTGTAATGTTACGTTTCTGGAAAATAGCATTTTATTTTTATTAGTTAATACTTCGAAAAATTTCAGTTTACGGTTTAACGCCATAGAACAGCAATAGTGAAATTTAATTGAAGCTACTATTGCAATTAAATTATGCATTTAGACCGTATTTATTTGAAACTGACAAAACGGGATGTCATAATAATAATTTTAAAGGTAAAAAGCAGCTTTTCGTTATCTAACATAAGAAAAAGATGATAAGAGGATGTAAGCCATTAGCAATTCTCTACGAGTATAATCTATGAAATTTAATAAGCAAGATATATGAATTGCACAGGACTCTATATTAATTACATTATATTAAAAATTTAGTTCGGTCATTTATTATTTATCAGCCATCAGTTCAGTACTTATACAATAGAGATTTGACAATTTATCATAGAATGAAACGAGTTCTTTTTCCCCTTAAAATTTTTATTTAATTTAACAATATATATCATCGACATCAATATTGATGAATACCGTGAAGCAAAAAGAAAGACTATTAATGAGATTAGTTTTGATATCAGATTAAAGTGGTCAATCTTAAATATCAAATATCGAGAAAGTTTCTACTACTATTCATTTTTTTAACATAAAATTACTCGATGATACTGATTTGGCAAAAAGTACTTTAAGGATAAAATCAAAATTTTAGTTTTAGCTGCTTCTGTTTTATAGGTCAACAGTAATAACTATATTCATAGAACTATTTTCCGGTCAACCATCTACTTTCTTACATGAGATACGAATAGTTATCATTCATGATTTGCGAATAATAATAGACTTTGGCATTGCTTGTTTTTCGGGCGAAGAGATAAGTATAGAAGTGCCAGTGTTGGTCTATGGGCTCTATGCTGACATTTGCTTGAAACTATTTTCAGTTTTAGAGACTATCCTATGTTTATTAAGCAAAACTTTTCACCGTTCAATTATCTTTTGTCTGGCATCCGTTTTAAAACAAAAATAGAATGTTCAGTCTAGCTGCAGCCGTTTATGTAGAATTTATTTGTGACATCTTGTTAGCATTATGACGAAGATAAAAAGCAACATTTTCAACTTCGTCAATGTTTCCAGGACGTGTGCGCTTGTTAGAAAGATACTGAAGCGATGGCTATTAAAGTCATTGATGTCTAAGTAAGACAAGTAAGTTATATCATTAAAAACATATTCATCAAGATGAACAATTATGAAATTATAGATAGAAGATCTTCTCAAGGCTATTCAGTTTATTTTATGAGCTAAGAAATCAGAACACAGCAGAGATGTCATTTAAGTTAAATTTCAATGTCAAATTTAGATATATTCCTTGCGTAAAAAACAAGATTTATTTTTGTAAACATACCACTTCTATAGAACGGATTTTATCTAGAATTTTCCTTTTTTTTCTACTCGATGTTTCCTCTTTTTTTATGAAGTATGAACCAGAAAAAATATTCAAGTGTACGACATAAATAATTATATGAGTTTCTTTCATGCAGCCAGAAATCATGGCAAACACTTAAGCAACAATCGATCACAGAGCCCACCAAACTTAAGTAAGGAAATTTTTTATTCGACGAATTCAACAGAGAATCTTTTATATATATATACCCTATTATTAAAAATAGTCCAACGTAATCAATGAGATGTTTCCAGTGAACTCTGTAGGTGAATTATATTGTAAATATTAATTAAATAGAAAGTGCATTTGTAACTTTTTTTCTCGGGTGAATTATGGTGTTGAAAAGTCATGCAATATTTTAATTCAAATTCAAATTAGAGCAAATATTTTATGGGAATTCATAATTATATCCATTATGTTTTCAGACGTAGCTATTCGAATTAATGGACGAATAAATATTTAATAAGGGCATTCTTTTAATCTTTCGATTTATGTTAAAATATTTTTTTCCCCTTATAATACTATGCTTCAATATTCTATTCTTTTGTCATTTGTTCGCAATTATTTGATACAGGTTTATAAGTTTAGTATTATATCATAGAGAAAAAATTACGTTTGAGGTTTGCTCGTATCTTAAAATGCTAATGATAGATTGCGAGGCAAATTAGTGTAAACTCTTTTTTTTTGAATAGGCATATCTATAGATTCTTTTCATTTGTATCTAAGAAAAAGAATGTTTTTTGTTATCTACTAATAGGAAAAAAAATTTCACTATCATAATCATTCGACTAAAACGTAGATACGTATATGAGGATATATCAACAGCTGGTTAGGAATTTTCTATAGTATATTCTCTTGGTATTTTGGCTAAAAAAAGATATGGTATATCAAGTTATCTAAACATATAGTGAATTATATTAGGAGGAAAAGTCGATATGATTATATTACACTCGAATATATAAGAAGAAATCTTCCTAGAGTACGCTCTTCGTTTTAGCATAGTAGAGCAAACTCTTAGTATTTTCTTTTCTTCTTTTTATCAGACACCATTCACGACTGTTCTTCAGAGAATACATAATGACCTGTTTTTAATCACGAAGATTGAATTTAATCTATCTAAGCAAAAATTAACAAAAAAATTGATGCAGTCTGTCTCATCAGGGAGTATAGAACAGTATGTCCGCTATTTTCAAAATCAATCATTGGAATTAAAACTCTACTTGCAGTTTTTTTTATAGGCTAAATTCTTTCAGTCTACACTATAACACGGGTGTCACAATAGATCTTATTCTTTATTTGGACCAATAGTATTTCTATTATGATAAGATAATGATTTGTAGTTAAAACAGTATATGAAAAAGAATAAGTCGAATATTATCTTCTTTTATTATAAAATACAAATTGCTATTTTCTCTACATCTGCCTAAATAGATTCATTCGTTGCAAATAGAAAGAGAGTGGGCATGGTAAGTAATGAACTATTGAGATAAATGAAAAATATCTATTCAGACTACTGATAATTGCATTTAATATTCGATTATGCGAAAAATAAAGTTCACCGAGCCATCAATTTTATTTCCTTGATTAATATTAGAAAACAAATTCTATGTTTATCCAACTGTTTTTCTCTTTCTATATCGAACCATAATTGAGACGAATAGATTTGATTATGACTATTGGAAAAAAAAATAGTGATTCATTAAAATATTTTCTTTCGATAGTGAGTGCTTGGTCGTTCGAATATCTATTTCATTCAATAATTGATACATAATAGTTTACGCGATTTATTTTTCTTCGTGGCTTCTCATGTAACTGTATCAACTATCGATTTCGAAAGCTATGCTAAAAACTGAGTAGTTTCAATTTGTTTTTTTTTTCTTTCTGTAAAACTCCACTTTTTATTATTGTCGCAGTCCGTAACAATTAGCACTTGTATTATCGGAGGGAAGAAATTTAATTTACATTTATTTATCAGGCAAAGCATGACAATGAAAAGACTTTCTTCTATTGGAAACTTGCTTGTAGCGCAAAATATATTTTTATTTGTTACCATTCGGCGTTAGGAAAGGAAAGAAGTGCCTATTTACATTGTAGATTTATATCATGAGAAACAAAGTAGAAAAGGAATCTGCGTTTTTCGATCTCGAACGGAATCCGAATAAAAGTGAAGTAGATTCCTTTGAATCGCTCTACGATGCCTTAAGATATGTTGGTTTAACATCTGGTCTTCATATCAATGAAACAGTAACATTACCACCGTTGCAATCAAAATGGTCATCAACAATAAATATTCTTCCGCTTGGCTTAGGTTGTATTGGCTTAGTTTTCAATATTCTTGCCTTATTAATATTCTCAACATCTAAAACATTTCGAAAAACTTCATTTCGTTTTTACATCTATGCATTTGCACTTGTTAATTGTGCAAGCGTTTTAACGTAAGAATTCTTTTCCCCCTCCATTCTTCTTCATATATGAACTAACGTAATATTTCTTTTTTTCCCCTGCTTTTAGCCATTCATGGCTTTATCTCATATTTTATCTTGTTGATCCAAAACAATTCTGTAAATTTTTACAATATTTTCAACAATCAACAGCAACAACATCCCTTTGGATTATGACTCTGTTAACGCTGGAACGTTCATTGACATTGTCATTGCCATATACAGTTAAAAGATTTTTACAAACTCGTACAACTTGTTTTATGCTTATATTGGTAACAGTTCTATGTTTTGCATTGCATATCGATGAAATCATATCGGTTGATGTCAAAGCATTTCGTTGGGTTAATTTTGCATATGGTATTTGTTCAGTTAAAAGACATTTTCATTTACTAACGGAACGCATTAAAATAGTTACACATGCGAATTCTTTTATGTTACCATTTTTATTTAATTCAATACTTGACATTTATATATGTTACAAAATATGTGAACGGCGTAAAATTCTATTAGCTCAATCATCAATAGTGTCAACAACAAGCGTGTATAATAAAAGAAAATATCGACGATTTAAAAAATCTTTAGCGCATGAAATAACATTAAGTTTGTTATGTCAATCACTTTGGTTGTTATTCACTTATTTTCCTACGCATCTCTATTATTTTTTAATATCATTTAAAGTAATTAATGATCATGATCGTGATAATTCAACATTTAATTTTTTAACGAGACAAAATCTACTCATATATTTAGCGTTTTCACCAGCACTCTATGTTATATTAAGTCCAACATTACGTAACGAAATTCATTCCTATTTAAGTCAATTATATCGTCAACATCGATCATTCAGTTTATCCACTACTGCAAATCCTCAAAAAAAGCTTCGAAGCGCTTCCTGCAATATATATCATCAACAAAAACGATATTCCGAAAGATTTTCACAAATAAATTCAACCTTTTCAAAGACGAAATGTAAACACATACGTGGTAAATTCTTATCTAAATCAATAGCCCTACCATTTACATTAAAATATGAATCAAAAAGTGTACCATGCTTAACTATTTACAATAATCAACAGGACTATGATCAAGATGGCAAGATCGAACGGTCGAATACCAGTGACGCATTTAGGACTCGCCCCTCTCGTGAAAAAATAACTGAAAATTTCCACTTATTGTAAATGGTATTAATCAAATGTCAATAAAAATTAGTTATTATGTATCAGCGTACAATAAAAATATTTGATCCCCTCCTCCTTCAGAAAATCCTGGCTACGTCGCTGTCGAATGCATTACTACAGTGATATATATATATATATATATATATTTATTTCGTATGTTGTTATGAAAATCAATGTAAATTGTTCTTTTTGTTTTGTTTCACTTAAATCAAATCCCGATTAACTACGTCAAACGTAGAATATTTATTATTGCTTGTCACCAATAAATCTTGTTTTTCTTTCGATTTTCAAGAATCTTCAATTTTAATTAGTTTTTTTCTTCGTCTTCCGCTCAGTTCATGTTCTTTTGATTTCATTTTACGATAATGGCGTATGTCTATCCCGACATGTGATCAGAAAGAATAATTTTAATTGCTCAGCATAGACTTCGCGACTTAAGAATATCCATTCTAATTAATTGCTTGTAATGAACAAGTCTATTTCGCTCCTCAAGAATTAATGTGCACTAAGTACAACATTAAAAATTTAATTTAATTATAAGTGCGCTTTGATATAGAAAGCTAAGTAACGGGAAAACATGAGATAATGACATACTGCTCTTGACATAATTTACATAAAGTAGAATATACATATATACGTATATATATTTAGATTTTTAATTAAAAGTAAACTTGTAATTAAAAATTTGAAGAGAAATTATTATTCACTTCTCATTTTGTTCTTCAGTTGTATTGGGTACCAATTTAATGAATGTTCGTAAGTGAAAACAAACTAAAATTTCAAACAAATTCAATCATGTTCAGTCATAGGTACACAAGAAAGACGATGAAATTATGATAATAAGGCAGGATTGGACACACGCGTATGTCTACTGTTCAGATGTAAATTCAATGAAATTCAATCGAATTTTGAGTATGTTAGATATTTTTTTCAATTATCCAACTCCAATATTAGAAATCGTCAATTACGTCCAGTATCTAGTAACTTCCTATTGAAAACTCGTGCTAACATATTCAACAAAACGTATTATGCCGGATATGATTATGTCTGATTCAAGACTATTCAACTTTCATTTCAACACTCGACAACAAAGGCAGATGCTCTGATTATTTGCGTTTTTGAAAATTTTGCTTCATTTATGTCTAGATATTTATAAACATGTCATCATGTCAGTTTTCTCTAATAACAGCACCATTTTATTCATTAGTATCAATTTATTCAGTCAGGAAAAAGCATTTCACTACGAATGAAAATAAAATGTTTACTGGTGTTTTTTTTCCAAATGACACGATTAATTACTCCGTCGACAACAATAATATGTGAAAATTGGCTTGAAAAGAAAAGAACTTAGTAATTTTATAATCTTCGTAAATATTTAGATATTATACGAAAATTTGGCGCGTGGGGAATATCAAGAAAATGGCTAAATTTAGCAGCAGATCTCTCTCTACTTGTATAGTTATTTCACTGAGAATTTCCGTCATTAAGAGCATTGAATATATTTTAGAAAGTGTAACTTCAGACATATTTGCAAGAATTATTCAGGTTGTGCAAGTTTCTAAAGATTTAATATCTGTAAAAAGTCATCGAAACCTTTCTTAAAATCCTGTGGCGAATGCCTGCTGACTTGAATCGTTGTCACTGTTGTGAAGCAAACAGACATCAATCTCTATTGATTATTGTAAGTTTCAATCAAAGTCTTTACAAATGAAGTCTATAATTGTACGAGACCATTGTAACAATAGCGGTTCCTGTGCTTTATATTTGTATATGTGCATGTGAGTACGAGTTCTGTTGCAAGCATCATTGTCCTTCTCATCTCTTGTGCGTCTGTTTTTCTCTATGGATTGTCCATTTCATCACCAATTACACTTCTAAGTCAAATATTTTTTTCCTCCTGGAAATCATGAGTGTTCTTACATAGTCTCTTTTTCAATATTTTTATTGTTGTTTAACAATCGGGATACAAGACAATAGGAATTTCATTAAAAGTTTTGAATATTGACAAAAGTTATCCCATTTGTTCTCTTTGTTTACGAAACATCAGCGCAATCGTATCAATGAGTAACATTAATTAATCAGGCAACTGTATCGCCATCTTTTAGGACTGAAAACTCTTAACCATTTTATAAAATTACACTTTTCGATTACTCGTAATCTCACAAAACTCTGTTTTATTTCGTTTAGTCATTCAGCGGTTTTCAATTTGCTATTACCCGAATCATGTTTCTTCTTGGGCAACTTCAAGATCATGCCAAACATGATCATCAATTATATTTGGAAAGAAATCAAAACTTAATTGTTTCTTATTCGTAGTATGTGACGCTCTTTTATTGAACCTCACTTGACATAGTAAGAGAACAAAAAAAATAGAATAAGGTGAGCTATCCGGATGATAATCATAATAATATCGTTACAATTAGCCATATCTATTATTTTACTGACTATCGGTCAGCTTCAGATTCATCCTGTAAAAAAACAAAGTGTGGGATTGATATTTTGTGGAAATATTATTTTGTTTTACTAAAAAAGTGTATGAAAAATAATTTTTTGAGTTGACCATAGATTATAAATTTCAGAGAAATTATTCTTATATGTGTTTTACATATTTTAATGAGAAAATAATTTAATTGCTTTTCAAGAGGATACTACTACTAATAATAATAATTTCACTTTAATTTACGTAGAATATTTCGCAGCTATCAACAATAACAGCAAATAGATTTGCAGATCCAGTTTTTGGCGTCATCTGTTGAAAATATATTAAAAACATTTGCTAATATACTCCTTTTTAAAACCCAATCATTCAGTATTATTGTCATAAGTTGAATATTGACCTTATTAGTGTGCTCTTTTTTCTTGGAACTTGATAAATTTTAATATTTCTAAATTTTGCTTTTTTTTTTCTTAAGAATCCTACTATAATTCTAAACTCATGGATTCTCAACCCATTATTCGTGATCTTGTTTCAGCCAATATTGTATCAACAATAGGATCCTCACACGGAACTGCTGTTCAATTAGTCGAAAGTGATAAAAATCCATTTGGTCATACCATCGTAAATACACAAAATGATAGAGTATCAGACCCACAAGATCTTGTAAACTTAGCTCGACAAATCGAAACATGTGATGCATTTGTTCGAGCCAATGTTTCCAATCGTTTACAAGTTATTGTTAATCAAATGAACTATTTACGTCAGGAAGCTCAACGTACATTAATGAAAGCACGACGCGATGATGAGCTAAATCACTGCGCTTGCAATCTTGTTCGACGACCCGGTCAAACCTATTATCATTATGAGAGACCCACTGGACAAAAATATTTATCTATTATGCATCCACAAGATTGGTTAACAAGTACAAAAAGTAATGGTTGTCCACATCGGTTTTTAGGTGCCTATAGACTTGAATATGATAACTCTTGGACAAGAGACCCAACTGATTTTGACGATGGATTAGATGATCCATTAGATGAATTGAAACAACAGAAAGCAAATGATGCGAAGCAAAACCAGAAAATGCTTGAATTTCTTATTAAATCATAATTTGTTTATTTTTTTTTGTGCTTTCGAAATAAAGAAGAATTAAATACAGAGTAATTTTGATTTCAGACAAAAAAAATAATGACAACAGATAATAAAACGGATGATAATGATGGTCTTGAATCAGTTCTTGGAGATGACGATGAATTTCAAGAAGCAGCTTTATTTGTTCAAAATAATCTCTCACTATTTTCTCGTGACGATTTACTTTATTTATATGCTCGATTTAAACAGGTAAAATTTCTAAGAATATTCTATTGGAAGAAATTCATTCTCTCACTTCGACAGGTTACTGTTGGTGACGTAAACATTCCTCGGCCGGGCTATTTCAGTTTTGAAGCAAAAACAAAATGGTAATTGCATTGAAAAAAAAATACTATTCGAATTTATTTCTCGTTTAAATTTAGGGATGCATGGAATTCTCTAAAATCCATGCCGAAATCTCAGGCATCGAGCGAGTATATCCAATGTGTGACGGATATAAAACAAAAAAATAATTTAGAAAATCAAGTAGGAATAATTTTAAGAATTGTAAGATTTTATCTAATGACTTTTTTTTCTGATAAGAAATCGACAAACGCGGGACCGAGTGTTAGTCGATTGTTAGTACAAAATGAAGAACAAGTGTCTAATAATGATGAAAAAACAATTTATGAATTTTGTCAAGATGGTGACGAAGAATATATTGAACAAATGCTCAAGAAGAAATTCGATGTTAATAAACCAGATGAAACGGTAAAATTGAATATTTTTAAAGATTTTATCGGTCTCAGCCGAATTCTTGTATATTAGAGGTAGATCATATATAGAGGCCGTTCTGAATTTATTTGATTTTCACAAAGATGTACTATTGAATATTTACTGAATTTATCTCTCACAAGAAAAAATCAGAAAAGTCCATTTCGTGATTCATAACTATGGTCACTTTTAATTTAATTAATGGCGGTGTAAAAATCTAACCATAGATCATCCCGCTAACAGTTCCTTTGCGATCTTTAATAATTTCTCTTTGATATTATGGTCGTCATTTTCAGCGAGAGAGAAAAATGCTCATTGTATTATTATGCGGTATCTCTATTCTATTGAATCTAATGTTACCAGCACTCTTGAGAGAGTTGAATGTCGCCATTTGTGCACCGACATCAATGAAAGTAACATGGCGAAAAAATTTCAAGGACAAGTTGCTCTGAAAGCTCCAAATATGATAAGAAAAATGAATAAATAATAATAATTTTCAATTTCGTCTTGCTTCTTCTTATAGAAAATAGCATTCTAATAAATATGTTTCGTGTTAGTAGCTTATTCGAATTTTACCTATAGATATAACAAATCATATGTTGAAAATATGTAAAGATCTTCTCATGATTAATTAGAGAGTTTATATTTAGCAATTAACTTTATTACATTGGGCAACTGATAGAGGCAATGAATCCATGATACGCCTTTTGGTCAAATACGGAGCCGATCTCAATGTTCGTGATGAAGATGGGCAAACTCCATTATTTTATGGTATAAAATAATTTAATCACAATAATTAATTGCCCAGAATTGTTTTTTTTCTATTGCTATATTATAGCTGCTAATTCAGGTAACATTCCGTGTTTGAAGCTTTTACTAGAGCTTGGCGCTGATCGATCTATTGCAAGCAATGATGGTGAATTACCGTCGTCTGTGTCGCAAACCGATGATGAAAAAGCTGTCTGGGCAGCATTTCAATAGATACCATGTAGACTACTATTGTTGTTTTTTTTGTTTCTTTATAAATATATATGATATATACTGTAGAATCTTTCATAACGGATTAGATAATAAAATATTAACTCATAACTATGCAATTAAATTGATTGAAAAAAAAGTAAGCATGGAACCTTTTTTATTTTCCATTAATTCTGATTAACAATATGTCCCGTGATACCTACCTCTTCAAGAACTAGTTTCTATGTTCATGATTTACTTGAGATATTTCAAGTGAAATAAGACACTTTTGATATTCAAATCAAGCGAGATTATTTAGAATTATAAGTACAGAGAGATAAGGTCCGGAAAAAAACTGTCAGTCCGGTCATTATTTTCTTCAAGATGAATTAAGCGGTTGAATAGATGTTTCTTTGTTTCGATGACCAATGACTTCCTTGAAAACAGAAACAATGAAGTCAAACGTTTCTAGGCTAAATGACTATTAGTCAATTTTGAACACGACGTTTACTGTCATGGCAAGGAAATAAAAGTGTCACTGCGATGACTAGAGACTTGTGGATTATCTTAACAAATGTATAATTTGGATCAACTCGTGAACACATGAATCCATATGTTTGATCAATTTAAGCGTCGGATATTATTTACAGTGTCTCGAGAGGAAGACATAAAGAAATTGACAAGTATCGGAAAGAAAAAATAGTCCAAACAGCATCAATTAAGATATGAAAACAAGCACTTTCTCAATGTTTGTTTCTTTTTTTCTCGCTCTATTAACCTCTTCTCGGTCAACAACGCAACGATGATGATGATGATGATGTTCTGTTTGTCTTCTTCTTATGTGGTCGAATTTCGTACGAGACGAATACAACTAGTTTGACTTGACCGATAAGCAAGCCAAACTTCGTTTTCCTGTTCTTCTTCATATTTTCGTTGATCACAGTGCACCATTCAATTAGAACAATGACCATCATTTTTTTTCTTGCTCTCATTCTCCTTCGTCGACCCTGACATGTCCCTATATGGTAATCGTCGGTCAAAACAAAATGATGGCATGGTTGAAATGTGCGCGAGAGAGAGCTGTGAGAGAGAATAAAAAAGCATAAAAAAGAAAAAAAACGAAGAAAAGTGAAGAGCCAGAAGAACGCGCGCGCCATTCGTCGACCAAGAGAAGGAAGAGTAGGCAGCAACATATATCAACACGTACATAAATACATAGATTTACATTCATCTTAAATTTCATTCGATAAATTTCGATCATGTGTGACGACGATGTAGCAGCTCTTGTTATTGACAATGGTAGTGGTATGTGCAAAGCCGGTTTTGCCGGCGACGATGCTCCACGTGCCGTATTTCCATCGATTGTTGGTCGACCACGTCATCAAGGTGTCATGGTTGGTATGGGCCAAAAAGATTCCTATGTCGGTGATGAAGCACAATCAAAACGTGGTA